AAACAGTTTTAGATGGACTGCCAAAGGCACATTCCGTGAATGAAAGGATCAACTGAACTTGAACTAAATCAAAGCTTATACTCTTCAAAAGACAGCCAAGAGAATGAGATGACAAGCCATAGACAAGGAAAAGTATTTTCAAAACCACATATATGATAAAGCACAGTTATTTAAGTACGTATCCAAGGAATTCTTTAAACCCAGCAACTTTAGAAAGTGGATATCTTGATTTAAGAATGGGCCAATGACTTTTACAGACACCTAACCAAACATATACAGATGGCCAATAAGAATGTGCAAAAGGTGCTCCGTGCCATTTACTGTTAGGAGAATTACAAATTAAAAGACAGGCACCACTAATACCTACTACAGCTGACTAAATCTGAAGCGCTGACAGTGTCAAATACTGATGAAAACGTGGGGCAACGAGAACCTTGGTTCTTTGCTGATGGGAATGCAAAATGTTTCCTTCACTTTGGAGGACAGATTAGCACTTTCTTATGAACAGAAACATTCTCTTGGTATGCAATCCCTGGTATTTACCCAGAAGAATGGTAATCTGCACATCAATATTTCTAACAGCTTTATACATGACCGCCAAAAGTTGGAAGTAATCAAGATGCCCCTCAGAAAGGGAATGGGTGAATCTACCTTGGTACACCCAGACAGTGCAGTGTCATTCCATACTAAAATGAAATGAGCTATTAAGCCATAAAAAAAAAACTAAGAAGAAACTGAAGTGCATATTTCTAAATCAAAGAAGCTAAGCTTAAAAGGTTACCTACTGTATAATTCTGTTTTCTAGAATATGACATTAGAGAAGATGAAAACTACAGAGACATTAAAAAGGTCTGTGATTGGCAAGAGTTGCAGGGGTGGCTGAGGGGAGGATAAATAAGCCGAGCACAGAGGACTTCCATGGCACTGAAATGATTCTGCATGATGCTATAATGTTAGAATGCCATATTCTGCATCATGTTGGATATGTATCATCATAGATTTATCAAAACCCATCCAATGCACAACTCTAAGAGTGGATCCAATGCAGACTGAATACGGGGAAATAATGATGTGTCAGTGTGGGTTCACCGACTACAACCAATGCACTTTTCTGACAGTGGTTGAAAATGAGGAAGAGTATGGACAAGTGAGAGAAAGGGGCAGAGGAGCTTCTGCTGTGAAACTAAAACTGCTCTAAAATTACAGTTTATTTTTTAAAGTAGGGAAACATATTCTGTTAGCAAAACTGTAAGGAGTGGGGATGGCTTCCAACACCCCTGGTGCACACACAGAGGAAGATAACCCTTCTGGAGGAGCGACACAACAAAACTCCCTACTCGCTGATCTTTGGCCCCACAATTCTACTCCTAGGAATTGACACAACAATGAAAACACACACAAGGGCAAGGTGAATCACTGGAGCATTGCTTATTTTTACAAAATATTACAAATACACATACATAGATTTAAAAATGGTATACCATACAAAGAACTAATATATAGTTACAACAAAGAATTTTAAAAGATCTCTGATGAATGTGGATTTATTTTCTAGGTAATTGCTAAGTAGAAAAAAGAAAACACAAAGTTATATCCATTATAACTTCCTCTTTATATAAAAAGATGATGTTAAAAAATATCCACACATGCACACAAACATATAATTTGAGAAAAATATACACAGGAAGGACTCAAAAACTGAAAACATTGGTCAGATGTAGGTGATGGGTAAAAAAAAAAGTACAGAGAACGCAGAGTATAGGAACAGGGAGTGGAGCTAAGGGCAAAGGAATAATTATCTGAGTAGACCTTTTGGTAAGATGCTAGCTCTCAGACGCACAGGAGTATTTCATGAAGTCCCAAATTAAATCATTACATTCCAGCAGAGTCCGAGGGCATAGAAATGGCAGCAGGTATATTTAATTTCATGACAACAAATATCAGAACTATGCTGAAGATGTTGGGGAAGCAAAGAACTAACTGAAGCAACTTGGAAAAACATTTTTACTGGAAAAAGATGTTGATTAAAGCAAAAGTAATACCTATACACAAATGCCACAATGTAGTTCATAAATCTGTTTCTTATGGGGGAGTGGTTAACAGTGAAAATGGTTCTGAAATTATTTTATAAGTATAATATAAGAATTATATATTGCAATAAGTAAATATATTGTATGTGACGAGAACCAGATTTCTTACAACTATAAACTGGATGAAGGCTACAGGATATCTCTCTTTACTCTCTATGTAACTGTCTGTGAATTTATAATTATTTTTTAATGTTTAAGAAAATAAAATAGTAAAGGTAGCAAGTGGCTATAAGGACTAGATTGAAATATTCATTATGATGAACAAAGGCAACTCTAAGTGTTTTCAAAAACATTTGTAGTAGGCAGCTCTTGCTTTTGTGAGATGTGTGAGCATATTAAATATTTAGCAACTGCTCATATAACTCACAGCATTTACAAATAGGTAAATTGAGGTCTGGGAATCTGGGGTCCAAGTTCCCCAGTGTTGCCCTGGTCGGACCAGGACTATGGCCAAAAGTCCAGAAGCGTCACCACAGACCCACAACCTTCTTCATCATGTGGGATTCTGAAGCTTTTCTCTCCACAGAGGTCATGTTTCTAGAGGAAATCTAAATTTTTGGTTGCAAAAATAAATAAATAAATAAATTTAGTTTTGGTTGCAAAGGAGGCAGTGTAAAGTACTGTCTGCTCATTTAATTCCAGCGTAGTTGTTTGTTTTTCTGTTTTTTTATTAATACACATTATCTTCCTATAAGGCAAACAGTCGTGGTAATAATAGAGCAATGCAAAAATCTTCAGAAACTTTTAAAAGTTCCCAGTGTACTCTTATTTACGTAAGGCTCTTTTATTTTCTAAACCTCAAATTCTAAAATGATCTTAAGCAAACAGTTCTAAAATTAGGAACAAAAGAAAATTGATCTCTTTTCATTGAGACTCTTCAAGTTTAAAATATGGGTTATTTCTTGAATGTAGAAACAAAGAATTTTTGTAATAAAGATTTTCTAGCAGCTTTAATACCCTCGTTTTCTTTATACACTGTGGAGACTATTACCAACACAGCATAAAAGTTTTATCTTAAAAATAACTATGTATAATGTGTGTAGAAAAAAACTTTTATAAATATTAAAATGAGTAAAGAATTTTCTAAAAATGTTCTCACATTCAGGTTCCTTATCAATATATACATGCAACGAAGACCCACTAAATATCTCCTTGGTCCGGGATGTGTTACCAGGAAGTTGCGTTGGTTAGCTTTACAGACCTGGATATTATGGTTCAGAAAGCTCAAAAAATTGTGAACTATAGATGTAAGTAGAGATGGAGACATTTAAAGAATGTCAAGAAATTTCCAGCTTGAACAAGCAGATCCTCCATTCTCATTACATTAACCAGTGAAAGTTGGGGCCAGGATTCTCCCGCCCGCCTAGCAAGTAAACTGTCGCAAGTTCAATCCCCAGTACCAAAATAAAACAAACAAACAAATAAATAAATAAAACATGAATGAATGGCATTTTCTTTGTACAGCTTTTACTTGCCCATGTATGGGTGGGTTTTGTGCTCTCCTTTAGAGGGTATTGTCCTTTCTGTTCTGGGCAGCAGCCGTTAGCAGTACAAAGTATAGAAAATTAGAAAGAAAGGATAAGACTGCTTCCTGTCTAGTTCAAGTTGAGAGAATATAAAGACTCAGGACACAGAGGACACAGTTCTCATCTTATTTATGACGACTGTATGAGCCTAAATAATATCTTCAAAGTCTTGTTTGCAAAATATAAATTATCATTACAGTATGGTAATGAGAGAAAGACAGCTCAGAGCATGCAACTTGGGTCCATCTGGCACTGTGTGAACACAGATCCCTTCACAGACTTCACCTCGGGACAGAGCAGGACCTTAGAAGCACCAACTTTGGATCTCTTGGTCTTGGAAACCAGAAAAAGAACAAGTCCAGTGAAGAAGCAGCTGAGGGGATGCCATGGAGTGGTCTGGTGCAATGAGCTTGACCGCTGCTTTTGAACAATGCCACAGATGTCAGAATTAAATCTGGGAGCCTTACTCTGAAGGTCTTTTAAACTAAAAATGAACCTAATCAAATGGGGTTTTGCCTAGAAGGAGCAGATGCTCTGATGGGTTTACAAGATCGCTTCAGCCCTTGGGTTTGATGATAGAAGCATCTTTAAACTAGCCAGCCTTTTATTTTATTTTTTTCAGTGCTTTCTTTTGTGAAGATAAGAGAGTGAAACTGATTGCTTACCTTCTTTTGCCTTTCAGTGGGGTTTATTTATAGAAAAACCACATGACAGCCAGAAATGCCTTCAGACCAGGAGGGACCCAACCATCTGTTCCTCTGATAAAATGCTTCCAATGATTCCTCTGGGATTCTGGTATTAACAAAATGTTGCTGCAGCATCATCCAATCTGTGTATTTATAGGAGAGAGAATGTGTGTACGCTACATATTTGGACTTGTTTCTTTCAGCAGGAGAAATATAGCCTGTGCCATATGTTGGCCACGCACATAATTACCTCCCCACTCCATACACCCAGTTTTGAATATTTCACCATTCCGATAGCAGCGGGTTAGAATCTCCCCCTTGAGTCCAGATACACATAAACCCATCATCTTGGAACAGAAGCCCTTGGTGAAACGGTCATTCATCAGATAGTCACTGACTTTCAAGCTCACTCCCTCAATAAACATCCCCTATGTTATGCCATCTCCTGGAGCCCAGAGAGAAGGCCACTTTCCCGTGTTGGTCTCGAGGCTGCTCCCTGCCTCCTCTCAACTCCTGTCGCCACTCTTGTACGCAAAGGAGTGCTTTTGCTAGGCTCCTTCCTCACCTCATGCTGAACACATTATGTGCATTATATTATTTTACTTCTCATAAGAGATCCTGCTAAAGGGACTCTTGTGTTTCTCATAGTGCAAACGAGGCTTGAGACAGGCACACAGCAAAAGCCAGAGATCCATTTACTGTGTTCAATACTTTTAGCTTTCATCGATTCAGTACGTGCAGGAAGCTTCTAACCAGCATACATTGCTTTAGACTATGGAGATACAGAGCTCCGTAGAGAAGGTCAAGGCCTCACCTTCGTGGGGTTGGGAATTCTGTAAATGAAGATAAATAGTCAAATAAGGTACCACAAAGCACACTAAAGGCACCAATATAGGATGATATATAGAGAAACCCCTGTGGCTGCTGTGACTCCAGGATGCCAGGGGTGAACTGAGGCTCGATGAAGAGGATCAGCTAGTTCAGCCTCCCAGATGAGCATTCTAGGCTGATGCCTCCACCAGGGCTGGAGGAAAAGGAGCTCATACCCTCCCAGGCACAGGTGCCAGACTGATGGAGCCAGGGCCCAGGTCAAGGGGATCTTAGCTGAGAAGCAGCCAGGGCCACGTCCTGAGAGCTATCTAGAAAAATACAGGGTTTAATCGAGCAGAGAAGGATGAAGGCTGCTCCGTTCAGAAGAGATTGGAAATGTATACAGATCTGTAAGCACAGAGTATTTTAGGGAAATGGTTAATGTTTATCTGCATATTGTGGTGGGACCAAAATGTTGGGAAAAGACAATGGAGGCCACTGAGCAAGTGCATCCCAAGCATGCATGGTGATTACCCCACCACTGGAGTGGGCAAAAGTTTCCCATTTCACAGTAGTCAGCTCTTCTCTCCGAAGTCCGTGCATGGTCACGTGCTCTGTCCACTGGGCTCCATGCCAATGCACAGTAATGGATCATGCCACTGTACCAGTAAACATGGTGGTCCAGACCCAGCGTTGGCCGTACTCAGGACAGAGGCCAAGCATTGCATCTTAGATGGGTCCATTCCAGACACTGGTCTGGACCCTCCTTCTCAAAATGTGGATCATGGAGCTGCAACATCCACTTCACCTGAGAATGTTTTAGGAATTAAAATCTTAGCCTCCGCTGTAGAACAATAGGGCAGGCCCCCGCATTTTAGTCAGTTTGCTGGGTATGTTTTCAGCATATGTGAGTCTTTTCTGAGAATTATAGACAAACTCTTTCCTGCCAAGAGTAAATCATACCTGAGAAAGTCAGAATTAACCAGGAATGAAACAGAAACCCACACCATGATGGCTTCTGGAACATGGTGTGGACAGGGCTGTGTTGGGGTGCTGATAGATGCTGAACATCTAGAGTCGCAATTCCAGCTGTGTCTGACCCAGAGATGTGGGCAGAGAAATGCTCTCTGCTCTCCTTCCTCGCCGGTGTCTACCTGTGCAGATGCTTGTTTGAATGGATACAAACACAAATTGAAAAGCTTGTATCAGACATAAATGAATTTCCCTAAAGAAAAAGATAAGGTTCTCTTTAGATTATCATCAGAAGATTTAAAGTATACTGGAAGGAAAGGTAGATTTATAAAAAGACAATCTAGATCATTCTCTGTCTGCCAGAAATCTATAGTGAATTATCTCTTCCTATGGGTTCTCCCAATACAGCAATTTTTAATAACACACAGCATCTTCTTAACACACTGTGTGATTTCCTGAGTCTAACATTAGGGTCTGCATGCTGTCAGTGTGATATCAGACGAGGTGGACTCCAGCCCGAGGAGTTGGGTCCAAAGGAAGAGAATCAAAAATCTTCAAACATTCAATTACCACTCATTAGATGTGAAATGTGTCTTTGAAGCTCATACGAGTTTTTTATTTCAATGCTGGATGGCATGTCACTCTGCCTTAAATCTTTGCAAGAAAAAATTCAATTAGCATTGTCGGGCTGGTAATTCTACATGAAATTCTGCAGTGGGGGGAGTGACAGAGGAATCGCAATTTAGGCTGATAGCTACATCAACCACAGTACAGTTGATTAAAAATTTAACAGTTTTACTGATGAATGTCCTAGCTCAGATTTGGAAAACACTGATGGATTTAATTTTCCACTGACTAAATAATCATTTTATAAGCCATGTATAATTCATGTAATGGCAATGTTATGGGCTTGTTAAAAATGACTGCTACTAAACAGTGAATGCTCTCTAGCAAGCTGAGGCTTGTAAAGGATCATTATTGGAATTAGCTGGTACCCATTAGCAGGGAATAGGTTTTCCCCTTCTGAATCTTTAAAAGGAAATGAATTCAGCCTTTCAGGATAAGTAACACCCCAGTCTCCAACCCCTGGCAAAAATCCCTGCAAAAATACTGGTTGGGGAAAGAATGAGGTTTCTTACCCTCTAAAGCTGCTTCCGGGCCGAATAGCATTCCACAAGCATTTCAGGTATTTAAATTCACCTGGCCTGGACATGCTCGCCGGTGAGGACAGGGGCTGTGGCCCTACTCCAGCTGCACCATGGTGACAGTCCTCCACTTTCCACTAGGATTTGCTTAAATGACTCTTTCTCCATCAGACACTTATGAAGGAAATAAAAAATCTTTACACTGAAAACCACAGCACTCTGAAAAAAGAGATCAAAGGGAATATCAGAAAATGGAAAGCTATCCCTTGTTCTTGGGTAGGAAGAATCAACATAGTGAAAATGGTCATACTTTCAAAATTACTATACAGATTTAATGCAATCCCAATAAAAATATCAATAATATACCTCACAGAATTAGAGAACACAATCCTAAAATCCACTTGGAGCCAGGAGAGACCTAGAATAACAAAAGCAATTCTGGGCAGCCAAGGTAAGGCAGGGGGTATCACAATCCCTGACTTGAAATTGTACTACAAATGTACCATGATAAAACAACATGGTGCTGGCAAAAGTAAAAACAGCTCTGAACAATGGAACAGATTAAAAGATACAGAAACAACTCCAAACATACGCAGACACCTTATCTTTGACAATGAGGCCAAACACGTTCACTGGAAGAAAGATATCCTTTTTAATAAATGGTGCTAGAAAAACTGGCTTTTCACATGCGTGCTGAAGATTAAACCTAGATCCATGTCTCATCCCTTGCACTAAATTAAAACCAAAATGGATCTTAACACCTAAATATTAAAATAGAAGCCCTGAATCTTTTGGAAGATAGTCTATGTAGAACTCTTGAAGATTGAGGTGTAGGCAAAGACTTTATAAAAACAAAAAAACAACAGCAACAAAAAACTCAGTCACCCCAGAAATAATACAAAGAAACAACAAATGGGATCTCCTCTTATTAATGAGCTTTTGCATAGCAAAAAAAGCTACCAACAGAGTGAAGAGACAACCCACAGAGTTGAAAAAAATATTTGCCAGTTGTTCCTTAGAGGGCTAACTTCTAGAATATTTAAAGGACTCAAAAAATCAAACTTCCACTTCTCTCCTCTTATAATCCCTTCTTTTCATCTTCATTATTAATTTAGAGTCAAAACGTGGCTGTGTGTCCTTGTTCAAACCCTCAAAGCCTTTAATTCACCCTAAAAACATATCTGATGAGGTTTGCTATTTTCCTCCCTTATTCTCAGGACTGCCACAAATATCAATATTTCTTAAATGACACATTCTATGTAAAACAAGCATAAACTGTAAAGTGCAGCTAATAATATTAATAGGGGGGTTCCTACTGGAGACCAGGTCAACATTTTCTTCAGGACTTCTGTTCCTACATCAGAGAAAAAGTCACAGAAAACACCTAAAGGGATAAGAACCTTCCTGTTTGGCAACTACTAGACATGACTGCGTTTTCACCCATAGGCACAGAGCTTTCAGGGTTCCATCTCAGGTTTCCCCTGTCAGTTGGTCTGAAATAATGACTTCAATCTTACCCATTGCCTGTACTGGTCACCGCTAAGCCCTAGGTTTTAGACTCCAAATTTTAAGGTAGAAGTTGGCCAACCTGGAGCTAATCAAATTCCCTTCTCTTACAGAAGAGAAGGCAAATTTAAGGGAGGGACCTTGTGTGCAACAGTGACTCACACATTGGGAACATAACAGTGAGAAGGTAGTGGGTATCTCAGGTCACAAAGTCTAGTTCTCCTTTTGAGATTCACTGAATCTTAAAGCAGGCAAATCTATTTGAAGAAATGGTGCCATTAAAAAGAAAGAAAATGATGCAAAACAGAACCTCAAACGAAGGAGAGCAATTTTTCTTGCTTCCAGCATGTAAAAATGAGTTGCCTGAGGAATCCTTTGGTTGTGACTATTGTCAAATAGTATAAAAGAGGATACTCAACAGCACACAAGCCTACCTCCCTTGATGGGCCAAAAGCAAGGTATTGGTAAAAAGCGAATCTCATGGACATTTAGGCCTGGGAATCATACCCGGGAAATTGTAGGATTGGTTTCTGGTTCACTTTATAATTATAATAATCAGTATAAGTCTACAATTTTAAAGGAGCTACATGTTTGCCTTAATGCTTAAGACTTCTCTTTCCAGTACAGGAAATGACGTGAGTCTTCATGTAGCTGATTGGACCAGAGGTTTCAAGTTTGTGTCAAAAACCAGCTAGTTTAATTTAGTGCATGGCGAAAGATAAGGGTCTAATTTTAATCTGTGACAGGTTGACCCCTATTCCTAGTCCACTCTGTGTGATATTAAAGAGAAGGCACTTAAGCAATCTATGGCATATCAGAAAATAAAGCTGAATTGCTCCATGGGAATATTTATCTATTCTGGCATTATCTCAGGAGGATCAACTATATGATTTCTCTGTCTTTTTTCTTTTCTTGCTTGCTTTCTTCTTGGTTTCTTGCTTTATTCCATTTTTTTTAATGCTGGGTACTGTGCCAAACTTGGGATACAAAGGTGAATAAAACATGAGGCTCAAAGAGTTCTCAGTCCAGTGGGGGAAATAGATATTTTCAAATAGTTACAAAGCAATGGGGGTAATTGCTGAGACAGAAAGGAAGAGGAAGTGATTCTCTCTGGCTTTCACATACAAGAAAGGCTTCCCAGAAGAAAGACTTTTTTTGGTAGAGTATTAAAGAATGAATAAAGATTTTGCATGTACAAAGAAAGGAGACTGCTATCTTGTGCAGAGATAGCATTGTACTCACGGCAAGAAGCAGCTTCACATTACTGGAGTACAGTGTGAATATTTGCAGAAATTTTTCTTATATCAGACATTTAAGGAGGCCTAACAAGTGCCTGGCACTATGTCAGAACACAGGATGAATTCAGAGCAGGTCTCTGTCCTGGAGTTCACACTTGATATAGATAGACACTCACATGTATATCCATAATGGAGAATGAACAGTGAAATTCTAGAAGGATGAATGAGTTGCCATGGGAACACAAAAACACCAATGACTAACTTGACCTGGACACAAAAGAGAAATTTTTAGGAGGAATAACCCATACAGTGTGAGAGGTAGAAAAAGAAAATGTAGGTGTCAACACATGAGGAGTCATCTAAAAATACAATGAATGTTTAGATTTTTTTAAATGTATTACACTGGCATTAATTTCTTTCAAAATTCTTCCCCTCCCTTTGAATATAAATATACATATCCCATAATTCTTGCCAATTTCTGAAGCAGTTCTTGAAGTTCTCTTTCATGAGTGTCTTTAGTTGCAGTCTAACAGCTGCCTCTACATCCTGAAATCACTCAAAACATTTCTCTATCAAGGTTATTTTGACTTTAGGGAAGAACCAGTAGACACGTGGTGCCTGATCCATGCATAACATGGATGAGGACACAATGTAAATGTTTTTATTTGACAGCAATTTCTATGATAGAAATGATGTGATAAGGAGAGTTACCAGGATGGTGGATGGATCTATTTGTTCACACAAACAAGGATTCCAGAACTGCTTCAGAAAGTGCAAAGAAAAATGGGATTATCATGTTTAAAGCAAGAGGGCATGTTTTAGGGGAGTGGCTAATAGCAATGTGTGTTTTTGCTGAAATAATAAAATTTAATTTTAATTTAAGCATTCACTCTTTTGGTTAACCACCTTTTGAATGGATAAAGCACATAGAAGTTCAAAAATCATCAAGCTCAGCCTTTGACATCATAAAAGGTTACTCAAAATTTAGCATTTCAAGGTGGTGGCAGCAGAGTATTAAGCCAAGCATGGGCCCTACTTGTATGAGGGCCCTCATTACTTACCAAGCTGTCCCAACACATAGTCACACTGCACAGGGAGGTATGTGCATGATGTTTACCACTGCAGTACACACTTGTTGGAATCCTTTGTCCAAGCTTTCGTGTAGGTCATCAGAAGTATGACTATAGGCTTGTTACTTTCCTGCATAATAGATTTATAATGTTGAAAATCCTTCAAACAACCTTTTACGACTATCAAAGTCAGTACTAGTAAACTTTGCTGAAACTCACTGCAATAAGCAATAGGAAGAGCAACCAAAGAGAATTTAGGAGAAGCCAAGAGATTAAACCTTCAACCGGCCCAACTCCTGTGGAACAGAGCCATTGTCTAAGATTAGAGGAGCTAAATGACTCCCCTGTCCCAGAATTCTCTATCATTGAAAAAACACTAGATTTTTCTGAAATCACTGCATTTCCCTCTAAACAGTGTTTCAAAGTCCAGTGCAGGATAAACAGAAATACCATAAAAAATTGTCTAGGAATTAGAAACATAAAACCTTTTATGTTTCAGAAATAAAGGCTATAAAAACAAAATATTTATATTTAACTGTTCCAGTGAATGGTAATTATATAATTTTAGGAGAGGAAAAGCTTATATGGTATATGCACACTGCCTTGTTTAGATTGAGTTCAATTACAGTGTAATGACTAACCAACTGTAGGTTTTATGGCTAAACAAAACTTCATCTTATTTATGTGCATGTTCTCTTTATTACTCTGCAAAATTTCTATTTCTTAGCATTAAATATGGACTGAGCTTTCATCTGCATAGGATTCAGAAAAACCAAATCATTTTATAAGAGGTGAGCATATCAATTAAATATTAATTAAAGAAGTTGTCAAAGCAAAGTCTTCCTGAGGATCTCAGAAAAGGTTTCAGCATGCCTAGGAGAAGTGCTCAATAGCAAATTCACAGGACCTCAGCCCAAACTCATTTTCCTCTTGATCCTGTACTTGGTCTGCACCCTTGTACTACATCTCTGCTAGTATGTGTATGTGTATGTGTAGACTCTATCTGCACACCCTGGACTGCCTGAAGATCCTAGCTCACCTGTAATTCCCTTCAAACCTTGATAAAGCAGCAGCCTTATCCCTCCACTCAATGGTGCTCAGAACGGTGAGTAGGAGTTGACAGGGTGGTAGCTTTGTTATTACATGAGTATTTAATAATCATCATAATTTACTGAACAGGCACAGGTGTCTGCAACAGGGTTTTGCAGCTCACATGGATTACATATGTCATTTACCCTGCACAACAATCCTAGGAGCTGTGTTTTAAGTGAAGAAATGGAAATCTTGATGTGTCAAAGCCTTTCCCAAGGTCACTCAATAGGGTTGTGTAGGAACCAGTGTTAAAACTCAGCCTGCAAACCAAAGAACTTATACAATGAATCATTCAGTCAGT